TCAGGCAATGCTTTGGCCGGTGCGGAGGGCGAAGCGGAGGCCGCTGCAGCGCCGAACTCCTGCGCCCGTCAGCTGGCGACCCCCGGACCTGCGCCCGTCAGCTGGGAGGTCTGGAGACGGAGCAGGCTGGCGTGGAGGGCGATGGGGAAACGGTGGCTCGGCGGGCGGGGTCCTGCCTGCGCGCGAATGTCAGGCCCACCCACCCCATCTGTAAAAGAAAAAGTATTCCGCCCAAGCATAACAGAGGCTTGAGACACGGAGGCGCGGGACGCGGAGCAGCGCGGTGCGGTGGGAGGCGGCAGGACGCGGGGAGGGGTTACCTGCATCCTGCCAGCCGAACTCTGGAAGCCTGCCTGAATACCCGTATTTTCCGGCGTATAAGACGACTGGGCGTATAAGACGACCCCCGACTTTTGAGAAGATTTTCAGGGTTTAGAAAGTCGTCTTATACGCCGGAAAATACGGTATTTTTCCTTTTTGAGGAATTTGGATATTGTGGGGATGGCATATATGCAAATGATGAATTTGGCTCATCAGTTACACATATAGCAGGTACAGAGAATATCAGTGTGTAAAAAGACTTTTTTTTAAGAAGATACTCATAAAAATGCAGAGCACATTCTGGCACAGTTGGTTATTCTTACCTTTTCAGTATAGCTAGAGTTGGATTGGATTATTACATATATATCTAACTGGTTGCTCTGACAGGGAACACTTAAAACATACCTTATATGTTTACAAATAATCACTATACTTCCCTTGAACCTACTTTTTAAGAGAAAAGGGCATGAATTTGCAATAGCTGTCTTATGAAAAATGCCTGGCAAATATGTATTGCTGCAAGATAAGTGTAAACCTTAGGTTCTAATAAGAAATGAGATAAGGTTATTCTTGTGAATAAATGTATACATTAAGAAAAAAGGAGAAAAAGGAAGTAAGTAAGAGAGCTGCAGGTTAAGCATGGAACGATTAGGTGTGAAAGGAGAAAAAGAAGATGTACCACCTCCGTATTCTATATATAGAACTTTGCTGAAAGAATGTCGATGTTATTCAGTGTTGGTGATGGCAGAGTATCCATTACTTGAGACAGCATCCTTGTTTAGGGGGTAGGACATATGCTAACACAAGCTCTATCCTCCAGTGAAAGCAATACAGAGACTACCAGAGGATTAACCAGATTTTCCCCCCCTGAGGTACATAATGCCATCAATTGAATTAGTTGTAGGGGTGGTGCTACAGAGTTAAGTGGGCAGTGTAAATTTCTAATAAATGTGCTTTTTTTGAAACCATCAAAAGTTTCAAATAGTTTAATTATTCATGAACAGTGTGGTTGTTCATTAGGATTTGTTCAATATATCCTGTTCCATAGAAAGGGTTTTATGTACTCATTTGAACTACAGTGGTGGTCTATTACTATTCCCGTCTGATGGGATTATTGGGGAGAATTGCTGCTGTAACAATGGGCGATAGAAAATCAGCAAAAGATTATAAAAAAGTAATAAAGTTTCCATATAACTGCAAAAATATTCTAAATATTTATTACAAGACTAAGGGAAACTCATGATTTATTTTATTTATTTATTTATTTATTTATTGCATTTGTATCCCGCCCTTCTCCTTTCGGACTCAGGGCGGCTGACAATTAGATAAAATACTAACATATGTACATATACCTGATTAAAATTTGATTAAAATGAAATATTTAAGTATGTCCAATTAAAAGTAATTAAAACCCCTTTAAAATCCCTTAGGCCAGTCCCGCTAGCTGGAACAACCACGTCTTGAGGGCGCGGCGGAAGGAAGGGAGATCAGGGATCACCCTGATCTCTGGGGGCAGTTCGTTCCAGAGGGTGGGAGCTCCCACAGAGAAGGCCCTCCCCCTTGGGGTCGCCAGCCGGCACTGTCTGGCTGACGGCACCCTGAGGAGACCCACTCTGTGAGAGCGTACAGGTCGGTGGGGGGTAGTCTGTGGCAGGAGGCGGTCTCGAAGGTAACCAGGTCCGATGCCCACATATAGATTAAATTTATTTTTTAAAAAAAATTGAGAAAATAAGCCTTTTGTTGGTGTGTCATTAAACTGAATAAGCTGATTAAGGGAACAGGAAGAGACAAAGAAATACAAATTAATAGTAGGTCGTGGCAACTGGATCTGTTTTGTTTTTTTTTCATTTTGTCATATCAGAGCATACTTTACAAATTTAAATGTAAAGAAAAGATTTCTTAAATATCTAAGCCGAAGTTGTGACTGTTTAAATGGGAGAAATGTTAATAGGGATTCAGGGTAGAATTTAAGAATCATGGAGTTCATTTTTTAATCGCTTCATTTTATTAATGTTGAGTTTCATCCTAAGTGTTAAAGATACAAAGAAAATATTCTGCTTAAGGAAATGTCAGAATTGTTTTGTGTAAGCTGAAGCACATTTGGCATTTAACAATGGAAATATGCACCACTTGTGCATTTTTAATAAATATTTTTTTACAATTCATCAAGTGCATGCAATAATAAAATGGCAGCACCATCTTTTATGTTGTTGTATTTTTGATTTGGGTTTAGCTAGCTAGCTTTCGGATTTTCAGTTCTCATCAATCAAATATAGAATGGCCAGAGTCAAGGGACTGTGGGAGTTTGGCTCCAAAATATCAGAGGTATCAGGTTCTTACCAGGGCTAAGCATTAGAACAGGTAACATGCAAGATTCTTTAGAGTTCAAATGTAAAGAAGCAACCCATGAGGGAACATTCAGAATTTGAAAGCAGTCAACAAACAATTTGTAATAAGATTTTTCTTTAGTTTTATCTACTTTAGTCACATCATGCACAATTAATAAATTCTAACATGAAGAAAAGTATAATTTAT